TGTGACTGGCCTCCAGCTGGACTTTGCTCCACAAACAGCGAGAAATCGGCTTTTTGCCCCCCAAAATGCACAGAATGGGGGAGAAAAGCCGACCCTGGGATGGTGCCTGAGCGCTGAGCAGCAACGCAGCCCTAAAAAGCCCCTTTCCCCCCCATTTTAGTCTACACGAGGACACCTCAACGTCCCCAGGGTGTACAGGATCCGACGGGGGTGATGTTGTGGGGGGCACGGCCTCACCTCCTCATTGAGGCTCAGCGCCTGGAACAAGGAGTCGATGTCTTCGAATTCGGCGTAGCCAAAACCTTTCAACCGCTCGGGATTGGTGGGCTCCCGCGGCAACCGCACAGCGCTGATCTGGAGGGGAGCGGGAAAAGAGCTCGTTAAGGCGCTCGCTAACGATGGGCAAGGGTGGAGGTGGCTGAGACGATGCAACTCATGGCTATAAAGGGATATAAGCGATACAAATCGTTTTATATCCTCATATGTAGCAAGGACACAAATCCAATCGAGAAAACTCTTCCAAAACCCAGTTCTTTGGAGGAAAAACCCTCCCCAAACCCAATTTAGCAGAGGAAAACCCTTCCAAACGGATTATGCGGAGAAAAACTCTTCCAAAAACCTGATTTAGCAAAGAAAAGCCCTCCCAAAAACCTGATTTTCCAGAGGAAAACCCTCCCCAAAACCTGATTCTGTGAAGAAAAACCCTCCGAAAACCTGATTTAGTGGAGGAAAATGCTCCCAAAAATCAACTCTCTGGAGGAAAACCCTCCCAAGAATCGATCTTGCAGAGAAAAAGCCTCCCAAACACCTGATTTAGTGAAGAAAAACCCTCCCAAAACCCAATTCTGCAGCGAAAATTCCTTCCAAGACCTCGGTTCTCTGGACAAAAACCCTTCCAAAACCCTGAATCTGCAGAGAAAAACCCTCCCAAAACCGGATTTTCTGAAGAAAAATGTGAGAAGCAGCAGAGGTGACACAAACTGCAGAGGAGGTGGTGCTGCTGGAGCAGGTAATAGCAATCATAGACAATAAATTAGGTTTTCCTCAAGTTGAGGCTGTTTTCCCTGTGACTAAGTGCAAAATAATCTCCTTTATCAGGACCCACCCGTTTTCTCATCCCATTTCCTCCCCCTGCCCCGCTGAGGGGGGGTTTGGGCAGCAGCTACACCCCAAAACCACCCCAAAATCCAGCCTGGCCTCCTCCACCCGCTTGGTTCATGGGAGAAACAGCAGCTCCTGGCTCAAAAAGCAAGAGGAGCCATTGGTGTGGTGGCAGCCAAGGGGCTCACATGAAATTGGGCCATGGATGGCTGGAAATGGGCAAATTTGGACCCAGATTTACCTATGGGAGCGGCCTGGGCTGATCCACAGTGAAACGGGGACCAATGGGGCACAAATGGGGGGGGGTAAAACCCAAAATAATGGGATTTATGGCCCCCTGGCAGCGTTACTCACATTAAGTCCCCTGAAGAAGTCCTTGATGGACTCCTCGGTCACGTCGTAGGGGAGGTTTCCCAAAAAGGCAGTGTACGGGGGGGATTTCGGGAGGCGGCTCCTGTCGATGTTGGGCTCCCGAGCAGCCCGCGGGGCCGTGGGCAGGAGGGAGCGGTCGATGGGGGGCGCCCGGTAAACGTCATCGTCATTGCTGTGCCAGGTGGTGGAAACTGTTAGAAATGAGAGAAATTTGGCAAATCAGCCCCAAAATAACCACAGGATTAGAGAGGAGCGACTGCCAGCGCCGTACGGTGCCAATGGTGGCATTAACGGCTGAGGAGCTGCACATTAAAGCCCCAAAATTCATTTGGCTGAGGTGTCACAGAATCCCAGAATATCAGGAGTTGGAAGGGACCTCACAAGCTCCCCCAGTGCAACCCCCCCAGAGCAGGATCACCAGAGCAGTCACACAGGAACACGGCCAGGGCTTTGGGTGTCTGCACACAA